ATATATATCTAGAGTTAATTAAATATATATGTTTTAATAATCCTGAATATTTAATTTCAATTAATTAAATATAGATTTAATTAATTTGAAATAATAATCCCTAATATGATTAGGGTAACTTGGATATAAAAGGATTATTAAATTCCAATTAATTAAATATAGATTTAATTAATTTAAAATAATAAAACCCTAATATGATTAGGGTAACTTGGCTATAAAAGGGTGTATTGGGTCTAGCAGCCATTTTACAACACACACACAAAACCTTCAGCCGTTTTCTCTCAAAAAATATTTTGGGGAAAACAAAGATTGCTCTCAATCGGGTGAACTGAGTAGAGACCGAGACGTGATTTCGTGGAGGCTTACGATTTGAACCGAACTACACCACCAGTATTCACTGTTGTCCTTACTATTTTTCTAGGAACCCACTGTAAGTATTCGCATCTCTTCCTCCCGATTTTAGTTTTTCGTACTTGGATCGCTGGTGAGACCGTCGAGTTTTGTTTCCGTTGTGCCATAGGGTGCGCCGACGATCACAACAGCCAACTACGATTCTTCTATGGCTCGGGAATAAAGTACTATCAGATATCCAGGTTAAGAAAAGAGGGAAGAAGGGATAGCCTTTATTCTTGGTCTTCCCAGTTTCCAAGGAGGATGCCAACTCTGGTAAGGTGCCTGCGGGTGTTCAAGAAGTGTTAAAGAATTTTGAGGATGTAACGCCCGATAATTTACCGAAAGAGTTGCTACCTAAAATGTAGGTGGACCATGAGATTGAGTTAGTCCCGAAAGTAAAGCCTCATACGAAACGCCCTTTTCGAATGCGTCGTACAGAGCTAGCTAAGTTAGAAATGTAGTGGGTTGGGTTGCTTCAAGCCAGTGTCTTTTGACCCTCGAAATCATCTTTCGGGCGTCAATGTTGTCCAAAAGAAATATAATGGGAATTTGATATTGTGCGTGGATTATAGGGCATTAATAAAGTGACTATCAGAAATAAATAACCCATTCTTCTAGTTGCCGATTTATTTGACCAGTGGAACAGTGCCAAGTATTTCACAAATTTGATCTCAGGTCAAGATACCATCAGGTGAGGATGCCCAAGGGGATAAACTGAAACTGACTTGTGTGACTCGGTGTTCCATGGCTGCCTTGACAAATTCGTAGTCATCTACTTATATGATATAATGATATTTAACCCTTTCATGGAAGAGCATCAGGAGCATATTCAGTTGTTTGAGAAGAATGCAAAGATAAAGGCATGCATGGGTGCATTGAGTGTACAATTCATGGGAATGAGGCACAAGGATGTTCATTAAGAGGTCATCATGAGTTCGAGCGGAGGAGAATGAGGGGCTATCAAAGGTTGAGTTGTATAGTAAAAGTTGTTCATGATGAGGCCATCATGAGAATAAGTGGGGGATAAGATGAAGTTGCAGGATACAGATTTGAAAGAATGGTTTGGACAAGGTAAATCACTTGGCATGATGTCAACAAGTGGGATTCATAGAGAATGGTAAACTTAAGTTCTTTGGTATCTTGGTATGAGGTATGTCAATTTGCGTTATATTTATATTAGCAAATGTTCTTGAGATGGTGTATTGTGAGTCGTATTATAATTATTGGGCTAATAAATGTGTTTGTTAGTGGTGGTGTAGTGTTTAGTGTTTGAGCAGGTATATCATTACTATTAAGTAAGGCTTAAACAAGAATAAAAGTGGGTGAGCTAGTATCCTTAGTCGAGAATGTTACAGGTGAGAAATCGTGAGCCAAGTGGACAAAATTTAGGCATAGCATTTACAAAGGACCGAGAGGACTTGAGTTGGGACATGTCTAACATAATTGAATGCTCATATGTTTTGAGCTAAATGGTACTTTGGGATTGATTACATGGATCGTGTCATATGTGACACATTGTTTAAAATGCCACAAAGTGATATGTATGTGAGGGGTAACACACCGAGTGATATGTTATATGGTTTAGAATATGTGATGGTGTTCAACATGTTAGACGTAACAACAATGGTTCCTCAATGTTATATCCTTAAAGAGAACAGGCTCAATGGCAATGAGAGAAAAATGAAAGTAGGTGGGTTTACTCTACCCAAAGCTCTGAGTTTGGTGTCCCGTGGAACGAATCCTGATCTTAGTTCTTGAGGGCAAGAGATGGACCTCATGAGAAGGGTCAACTCTTTGCAATAAGTTAACTAAGATATGGTTTTAGTGTCGATGAGGACATCAACGAAAGTGAGTAGGGGAGAATGTCGGGGACATCTCATTTCCAGGAGATTACCCCGACAGTAACTCGATGGCGGGCCAAGTAGTTGCAACTATGAGATAAGGAAAAGCTTGAAGAATGAAGATGGAGGGCATGTCAGGGTAATGGCCTCAGTTCACACATTCCAACGGGTACTGGTGTCACAGCTGGTAAGTTTCTTTAGCTCTTTAGGGGGGAAGTGATATGGTGTTGGGTCTCCACCATCCCCTCACCCTGAGCTAGCATGTGGAACTACCATGGTGTAAGCGACCTTCTCCTAGGTTCATGAGGAACCTAGGTGTGCAGGCATTGGGACCAAGTGGATGGTACGATGTCTCTCTAGGATGATACCTATGGATGGTTTGGGGCCAGTGGGCCCTATATCATGCTCTTGGTTAAGGAGTGGGGTTGCCATCTAGCATTCGCTATGCCCCGCGAGATCTCTCTTCCAAGAGTACTTGTGGCTTTGGAATTATATTGTGGCACGAGACTAATGTGTGGCTTGTTTGTTCGGATAGTATACTGTGGGATTGACTAATGAATTGAGGATTGATTATCAGCCAATGTGACTTGGCTTCCTGAAGAGTTAATTCGAGGCATGGATCTATGTTGGGAAAGGCTGACTTGTGTGGAAGTTGTCCCATTCAAGTGCCGCATGACATAACAACAGAGCTGAGACGTTATGTCCATGACACCGAGCTCAAGTTCCGGTCCTTACCTTCGCGACACCTGCCATCACACCATCATTATCCGCCTCTATGAGGCCTTACTTGTTAACGACGGCTAATGGTGATTATCAGCAAATGAAATGCATTGCAAGCATCGTTAATTCATTCAACTGGAAAAGGGTCATTGTGATTTATGAAGACAATGCCTTTGGTGGTGATACTGGGAAGTTATTGCTTTTATCTGAAGCTCTTCGGATGTCAGCTCAGAGATCGAATATCGATTGGTTCTTCCGTCGTTTTCTTCTCTTTCAAATCCATGTTGTCCAAGAGGAGTTGATGAAGCTACTCTCCCACTCAACCATCAATCTCGAGTTTTCATTGTTCTTCAGTCATCATTACCAATGACTATTTATTTATTCGAAAAGGCCAAGAAATTGGACTCGTGGGAAGAGACTCAGCTTGGATAGTTACTGATACCATGGTTTAAAATAGCGGAACGAAAATGTTATAACAGTCGCTATTTTACGGTAGCACCGTCGTCCAAAATCGATACTACCCAAAATAGCTGTATGAACGCGGAATCACACCAATAGTGGCCGATAGCGTCCATAACTTAACGGGTAATAGCCGATCACGGTGATAATGGCCCTCTATTCCCATTATTTTTCGTTACAACAAAAAAATAGGGTGATTCGAAATAAAAAAAATGAAAAAAAAAATAGGAGAACTCACCTTCATCATGAGTAACTGGGAAGCTTGAGGGTCATTGGAATTCAAATTACTGAAAGGTAATTTCTTAGATCTAGGGCTTGTTGTTTGGTTTTAGAAAAAATGAGCTTTAGATTCGAGTTTGGGGGAACAATACGAGTCTTCTGAGACTTTTAGATCATCTTCGACCACCGTGTTCGGCCTTCGTCGATGTCCATGACCGATGGACTACACGGCAAAAGGGGCTATATTAGAGCATGTGGATTTTCCTTGGCTTTGAGCAAAAAGAAGAAATGAAATGTGGGTTTGAATTATAAACAACCATATATGCGGCGCCGTTTTTAGAGGTAGGGGTTTCATGAATTCGGCGCATGGGTAAATCTCTCTATGAGACCCTTTCCATTTGTAAATTTCAGTTTAGTCCCCTGATTGATACTTTTATGTATTTTAATTTGGTCTCCAATTTTTATGTGTGTTGCAATTTAGTCACTTTTCAAGACTTTGTTGATCTTCTGATTTGGATCTTTTATTTTACACATGTTTATTTTAGTAAGTTATAATATGTTAATTTTCGTAAGCGAATCATAATGAGTAATTTATTTGTCTATTTTAATTTTTTTTAGAGCTTTTTCTATGCTGATAGTCTTATTTCTTTAAATAATAATGACTCTTTAAAATTATAACTATAATTATTATATTTTAGGATAAGTTGTACGAATTTAAAAAACAAATCACGACCGAGACACCTGCAGTGAACGCGATGGCATACGTTATGTCCGCAACCGCTATAAACATGAAGCGACCGAAAACACGACTACGAACGCTATTTAAATTCCTGACGGATACAATATCGAGTTACATTGACTCGTTTAACAGTTCAGTGATTTCCTCCATGGAAGGCAATTTAGGAATTAAGGCCTATTATTCTGAGGATACTGATCTTTACAAAACATTCTATCCCCAGTTCCGAAGAACTTTCCGAATCGAAAATCCAGAGGAAGATAACTTTCAACCGAGCATCAACTCCTTACGAGCATATGATAGCATTGGAACCATCAAGCAGGCCATGGAGAGATTTAGAAGTAAAGAAAACAACCCAAATGCATTGTTGAAAAATATATTATCAAGCAATTTCACCGTTTTAAGCGGTGAAATCCGCTTCGATGAACGCAAGCTATCATACGACCCGATATTAAGGATAGTAAATGTGGTCGGAAAAAGTATAAAGAGTTGGATTTCTTGTTACGAGGGACTGGATTCTCAAGGAACTTTGTAAAGCAAAATGGAACTGGTTATGTTGGTGATAATATATCTGCAGGTTTTACTGGTAGTCACTTGGCCTGGTAATTCAAATTTAGTTCCTAAAGGATGGGCAATGCCTACAAGTATGAATCAAATGATCATCGGAGTTCCGGCAAGAACATCATTCGAGAAATTTGTTAAGGTTGAAGATGGTAAGTATTCAGGTATGAAGAACTATGGTGGTTTCTGCATTGAACTTTTCTATAAAGTTCTAAGTGTTCTTGATTATGCTTTGCCTTTTCAATTTGATCCCCACGATGGCACATATGATGAACTGGTTCACAAAGTCTACAATAAGGTAATAATACCCTTTGTTTATCTATATATATATATATATATGATGAACTGGTTCTTGAAATTATTTATCATTCAATTATACTTGCAGGAAATGTCGTTGTCAAATTTGAGTTTCATGAGACTTGGAAAATGATGTGAAAAAGAAACTATGACAGTCACCTACATGATTTATATTCTTGTTTTGTCTCTAATAAGATCATTTTCTTGTGTGTGTACCAAAATCAATGGGAAGACTTACGATGCAGCCGTCGGCGACATAACTATACTAGCAAGAAGAACAGATTACGTTGAAATTACACAGCCATATGCAGTATCTGGGCTATCAATGATAGTTCCGGTGAAGCCAGAGGACTCGGCATGGATGTTCCTCAAGCCTTTCACCACAGAAATGTGGTTGGTTACTGGTGCAATCTTAATGTACACAATGTTCATAGTTTGGTTCTTGGAACACCAGTCAAATCCCGAATTTAAAGGACCATGGAACAATCAGATTGGCACAGCACTTTGGTTCACTTTCTCCTACCTTTTCTTTGGTCACAGTAAGTTCCACTGCAACAGCCTTTTTTAGTATTTATGGGGCTAAAACAAATCATAATTTGCCATTGTTTAACTCTTTGTAGGGGAGAGACTTTACAGTAATCTGAATAGAGTGGTGGTTGTGGTGTGGCTGTTTGTTGTGTTGATTTTAAACTCAAGCTACACTGCTAGTCTAACCTCGATGCTCACCATGCAGCGATTAGAACCGAATGTTACGGATATCGAATGGCTAAAGAGGGCCAACGTGAAGATCGGCTGTGACGGTGATTCATTTGTGAGAAACTAATTGGAGGAGGTATTCGAGTTTAAAAGTTATAATATCGAGAATGTTAGCAGCGAATACAATTATGAAGGGGAATTCCAGAGCAACCAAATAGCTGCAGCGTTTCTTGAACAGCCATATGGGAAAGTGTGTCATTACTGCAAGAAATTTACCACTTCCTCACCTACACACATTTGGTGGATTAGGCTTTGTGAGTAAATTAATATTACTGACATCCGTTTACCAATGTATCTTTGCTGCACTATCTATAATAATAATAAAAAAAGCTTCTGTGACTCGATATCTGCAGGTGTTTCAGAAAGGCTCACCAATAGCTAGAAATTTTTCGAGAGCCATTTTAAGGTTATCAGAAGATGGAACTCTCAAGTCATTGGAAGAAAAGTGGTTTGCTCCTTTATCAGATTGTTCGACCAACGTAACCGATAGCTTGAGCATCCACAGCTTCCGGGGTCTTTTCATTTTATCTGGTGTCACGTCTACCATTTGTTTGCTGCTCTTCGTTGCTCACTTAATAAATATTGGCACCACCAAGGGGAGAATAACGTCGGCGACTTGTCCCCGGTTGATGACAGTGCTTGGATCAAGGCATTTAGAGTTGCCAAATATCTTTGTAATGGAGAAGTTTGTGTTCAAGGGGAACTTTCTGCAGCCCCTCAGGCACCAGATACTGATGAATGGAGCTCTTCAAGGAGGGATTATGATCAGGCTCCAGTTCCCATTAACATGGAGAATCTTGAGGTCACATCAGCTGAGAAGGAAATGCAGTTGCTGATTCAAACAAATTAATATGTGTTGTGAAATCATAGGATGTACAAAACCAGTGTTAAGTTCAAAATTAAATTAACCAAGGTGGGATTCTACATAACCAGGTCTGAATAATCATCCTTGATAAACTAGGTCACTATTAACTTTACTGTCACAAAGTTATAAACATCCCCATACTCTAAAAACATGCAATGATTTGTTCAAATACATTATAAAATTTAATGGTATCGGAAACTCGAATCACAGTCACTAGCCAACGTAACTTCATTGTTTGTCCACCACGAATCTAGGAACTCATCAGCATCAGGTATCAAACAAAACTTGTCCCGAAAAAAGTAGGTTTCAACACATCAATGACTTCGCAGCGTGTTCTTCAGGTACAAACAGATTCTTCAAATTTGGATCATCATCATTCTATGTTCCGTGTTACTGGTAGCCTCTTCCTCTTCCACGTCCTCCCCAACCCCTACCTCTGCCTCTTCGACTACCACCCCTCCCACCATAAGATATACCTTCCAATGCTCTATTAACAAGCTGGTTCGGCATACCACCAGTTACCCGGCCCTTCTTTGTTGCAAAATTATTAGATCCATTGGCTGCATTAGCAGGTCGCTTCACCCTGCACAAAAATTGCACAATTCAAATTGTTCTGTTTCAGGGTTCAACAATAGCAAGAGTCCACTTGAAACATGTATGAAAAGGATGTAGTTTTATGTGGTTCAATTCTATTAGTTCCATTGCATGCTCATCATCACCACATCAGATCATGTGGGTCTGGTTTTGAGTAAAGCCAAAAACGCATGAAGGTAGAAAAAAATCTAACGAGCAGAAAACAACAGTCAAAATAAACAGGAAACTTACCCAGTTGCAGTTGCATTGGAGGGTACAGAGGGTTTTACAGCTTCTTTCCAAGAAAGGTTGACGCTCTTATCTCCAATAAATGCCGGTGTTTTGGAATGTAAGGGCTGAAAAGGTAAATAATAAAAGATAAGTAGCTGAGAGTTTAGACACACATAGCGCATGTTATACAATTAGATGACAAGTTTCACTCCCTTTACCTTTGTCATAGCTAAATATTATTGCATGTACGCAATCCAGTTGTGGAATTCTGCTTTTGAGTTTTCTGCGAATAGAAAATGAATGATAAAAGCCAAAGAGGGAAGCAGAAAACAAACTTAAACATGGGGTATCTTAAGAATAAACTCACAATGTTATCCTTTGCTTCATCAGTTTTAGCAGCCGACATTGCTTTATTCTGCTCAGCCATTCCTTGAGTTAACTTCTTCATTGTGCCCCTCGTTAGGTCTTCAATACTACTCAATCTGGACCACCATTCATTAAAAAGTAAGTACTTACAATAAACAAGAAGAATTACAAACAAATGACATAAATTCAACAAATGGTTATAGATTTGAGGATACTTTCCATCTGAGCATTCTAGAATGATCTGTAAGTTAGCTTGCAAAAAACCTGGACCTCTGTGTTGAAGATAAAATGTTGATTAGCCATATCTTTGGCAACTCTACAAGAATTGTTGTTCATTACCATACTAAGTTCATTTGGTAGATTATAGATTTTTTTTCCTTTAAATTAGGAGTCACGATAAATATCTAAACCGATCCATTGATTCAACATATATTTCAACTTTTGAGGAACTGAACAGAACTTGCAACAAAATTGGAGGAAAAAAGGAAATAGGTCACTAGCAGATGTCTGCTGAATCTAAGCCAATGAACACAAATAAATTAAGACGGTTATAAACAGGATCAAGCCTTCCTCAAGATACGGGAAGAAGTAAAGAACCAGTTATTTTATATTTTTGTAAAACGTATAGCATAACGGAGACAAGAAGCTAGATTACCTCTCGGTGAATTCCTTGTAGTACTCCGAGAAGTCCTCCCCAAGCCTATCTGATGGTTGACCAGTCACAATCTTGTAACCACATAGACTATTTGTGGCATTGGGAGCCTACATAACAATATTATTTAAATAAGCATTACACAATACAAATTACAGAACAAAAAGGCGACGAAGGAAATTTTATTTAAAAGATCACTTGGAGGGGGAGGAAACCTTGTGAGCTAAGTGGTGAAATGAAAACAACAAGCATTCAACATAGGTAAAGTTTGTTTCTTCGGCAATCTTCCTCGCAGGCATGTACTTCTGAGAAAGAAAAAATTCATAACAGAACCCATATAAATATAAACATGCTTAAGACAATAATAAAATAAAAACCTATCAAGTCAACAAGATATAATTAGTAAATGTATGCTCATACCTTTAAAAGCTGGACAACAGAAGGAAGAATCTGGCGTGAATCCTGTGGCGTTGTGCAAGGAGAAATTTCCGCCAGACCTTTGAGCAAATCTAGCTTTCGCTCCTCAGGAAGCTGTAACATAGACATTTTATAACATATTCCTTACCACAGTACTGGCTACTAAAATAAAGGATCATTCCAGAGCCTTCACAAAACAGAGTTTCACAAGAATTATAGTCAAGGAATTTCCCATTTTCAGGGAATATTAAGATGTATAGAATAAGCAAGGAATTTCCAGCAACATGCATTAAAATTCCAAGGTATTAGCATGTCAACTTTTTGTACTGCTGGAAATTAGTATACCTTATCAAAAACAGGTAAAATGTGCTTGTTTATGTAGTTGAGGAATTGCTTCCAATGCACCCCTCTGAAAAATGATTTAGAGGTAAGAGACAGCTAATTAAGTTCATATATAGGAAGAATATTTAATGGATAAAAAGAAGATACTCATTCATAGCAAATCAGTACTTACCACAAAAAATGGAATAGCCATGAAAAGACATGATATCAACCTATCTATATGATCTGCATCCAAAACCTGCATACAAAAGCAAGTTGATAGTAATAAAGTTCATGACAATGACAATGCAATGGTGGATCTAAACTAGACAATGTCGACCAACTATTTTTATATTTTATGGCCCCACATCCTTTATAAAATCTAAAGAATAACTACAATAAATTATGAAAAGTGGTAGTTTGGTATATGAAACACGCCATAAGAATCAAGTCAGGCAATATAAAGAAAAGATCCAGACTGATATTCAGCGAAGAAGAACTCACATCAAACTGTGCATCTAAATCAGCCTGCCCTTCAATTATTTCAATAAGTTCCTTCAAGTGCTCAGGAGGAGCTGTCTCCCCAAATATGATCAAACTTTTTAAGAAGTCCATAAACATTCTGAATTCAGCTCCGGTTACATCCCCTAAACTCTGCAATGGAAATAAATAAAATCAATCCCGCATCTTCCAATTGAAAGTTAACAATTCATGGGGAAGAAGGAAAGAACTAGATGCAATGATGAATGCTTAAGTAGTGAAATCCAAATTGTACCTTTTTAATTAAATCAGTAATATGCCTTTCCATTTCTTCCTGGGGTCTTAAGAGTTCAGCTTTAAGAGGAAAAACCTACAAGCATAGTTGATTCTCCCTCATTATCATCCGAAAACAAAGCACAAGATTAGCAACAACGGGCAAACAAAGAAGCATTCTTCACCTTATCTCGTATGAAGCACAAAACCTTGTCACGTATAGTGTCATCTTGACTAGGGTCCTCAACGTTCCAAATGTGCTTGAATAATGCTGTCAGTGACTCTGCATTCACAAGAGAATCTAGTCATCAAGGGATAAATCAGGATGAAAAATTCCAGCAAATGAAGAGTGCATGTTGATTCATGCCACATTTTACAAGGATATGAAACCATATTAAAAAAAAGTTGATTACATTTTTCAATATAACCATTACATCTAACTTAGCATTTTAGTTTATATGTATATGCTCGAAGTTCTTTTATTCACATAGCTCATGACCTACCCTAGAGAACCCAAACATCTTCTTGTCCGTATAATAGGAAACTGAAATAGATGCAATATAACCAAATTCTAGTCTGCAAAAAATTGGTTATACAACTCACATGCAATATTTAACTTATAGTCAAATTTCACCATTACTAAAATAAATCAATGCAC